TTCTTCTATAATGAAACATTTTTTTTACAAAAGTTAAATTCTTACATATATTTTCGTGACGTTTGTATTGTATACAATTATATGTACTTCTGTGTATATAATGCCCACTCTAGCAAGAGACTCCCATGTACTATAATGATTAAACCTTAATCTTCCGATCCTGACTATAACTTCCCTTGACCAATCTTTATTTTTAGAAAACCATGGTTTTATCCTATTTTCATAAAATGAATTATAGTAATGAACACCTTTGTAGTTTAATTCTATTTTGAGTAACCTCTGAAAAATTTCCCACATTCTTTTCTTCAAAAGCTTTCTGAAGTCCGTAAATGACACCCCCCGCTTTGGATTATGTTCCTTCTAAACTGCCTCCTCAGTCATCTCATCCACTAACTTATTTCCCTTGATACCATAGTGCGATGGTATCCACATAAATACTATTCTATTCTTGCCACTATTTGCTTTAAATATAGATAATATCTGCTTAATGTTTATAATATAATTATTAGTTTTAACATTAATCTTTGTGCTATCAAGGCACATAATAGAACTTAGCGAGTACTCATCCTTAGACCCACTGCCAATTTTAATGCCCTTGTTTGTATGGATTCTATCTTCACTAGATGTTTTATTTAGTTAATAAATGTAAGTCTAATTAATGATTTGTATATTGTTTGTTTTGTATATGTTCATAACTAATCAGCATATTGTGACAAAGTTAGGTCGGTGTCCATACAACGCCAATTGGGGTAGTAGTAAAACGCTTAAACTGTTAAACAAAATTGACTGTTGGTAATTTCCCTAACAGTTTGAGCATTTTGCTACTACTCCAATCGGCACTGTACGGACATCGAACGAAGCCTCATTTGTTCTCCAAAAGAGGCGTCACAATCGTCAACATACGCAAAATGCAGGGTCGCCTAAAAACATTAATTACATATGCTGTAGAGTGGTGGAGGGAAAACCTCCCAAATAGGATTGAATGATGCCAATGATTCCATTAGCAAAATCGTCCAATCCCATTTGTGAGGTCTCCTCTCCGCCACTTGGAACAGATTCCGAGCAGAATGCCTGACACCATTGGGTACAGTAGACACCAATGGACACACTGCCCTTGAGTGAAAATTCCAAGAACAGTTAGGCACTTGACAGCTCTGGGCGTCTGGGACTCCTAAATCAGCGTATTCAAGAAAATAAGTTACGCAATGAGTGGAGGCAGGCGACGCATGCGCGGCAATCCCGCACAACAGTGTGGCATGTCTACCGCGTGAACATTTTAATTCTGAACTACGATCAGCCAGAGACCTTACATTGCGTCGCGATCGTAGTTCAGAATTATAATGTTCACTCGATAGACGCGCCACCCCACTGTGCGGGTCTACCGGCGCATGCGTCTCCTATCCCACTCCTTGCGTAACTTATTTTCACGTATACGCTGCTCTGCTGCCCCTGATCCTGATTGTAAACCAATCCAACTGAATCTAGCCAATCCAAGTGAATCTGAGCACACTGCTTTGAATGAACAAGGGTGTTTATGCGTTGTTACATGTCACTGTGATGAAGTATAAACATCGATGGAATCTTCATATAATGTTGTGCTTATCTCAAATTAGAAGCATAAATGCAGTGTATTGGTTTTAATAAAATTTCATAGATCTAGAATAAAATGAGTAGCATCAAACTTGATGTACAGTGGTCCCCTATTCATGCGAATAAGTTCATTACCTGGGGCACAGAAATCTGCCTGTACGAAGTTACACAGGTCAAAGATAATATTAGACAACTGTGTAAGTAAAGAAATATATTTTTCTGTAACAATCAGTTTATCAAGTGAGGAAACTATTACTATACATGTATACATCTTTTTCCAATAGATACAAAGATTTCTGATTCTACAGTTGCCCATTTACTTGCTACAAATACAAATCATCATTATGTTAAATGTATCGATATATATCCACAGCCGGAACCTGATATTTTGTTAGCTGTGGGACAAGCAAATGGAAAAGTCGTATTAACTACTTTTGGCCCAACGGTGTTTGATTCACAGGGTCTTACCGGGAAGGAATTGGGTAACTTATTTGTCCTATAACTGTATAGTTGTATATCTATCTATATATATATATATATATACATATATATTATTATACATACATTCATACATTATTATAGTTCCAAAACATGCGAGACAATGCAACACTGTTGCATGGAATCCCATAGATACAAACTTAATTGTATGTGGTTTAGATAAACATAGTAAAGAACATTCCATTTTATTATGGGATGTGAATAAAGGATTGCAAGGTTCCGAAAGAGTACATCATCATGCTATGGTACAAACAGATTCTATAAGACCTATTGCCGAAGTTAGTATTTCTGAAACTATACATTCCGTTGCTTGGTTCAAGCATGAACAAAAATGTATGGTTGTAGGTGCAAATAATAAGCAATTAAAAATTATTGACTTTAGAGGTATTAAATAAATCAATATATTGGATGATATTCTTTTTGTTTATTCGTGAAAATGCTAGTGTTACAAGCTAATTTTTCTTACACTAGATTCTGCAAAGGTAGTAAATACAGCAGCAACAAAAGCTGTTTATAATGTGTCCGTTAATCCGCATAACAATTATCATTTAGTCTCGAGCGTGGATAATCAAATAACTATTTGGGATACTAGATGCTTTGAGAAACCTGTTTTAACTTTGTCACAAGGTAGGCAAGTCACTAAAGTTTTATGGTGTCCAACTAGGCATAATCTTTTAGGAGTTCTACAGAAAGATTCAGGTATAATATACATGATTTATAACATAAAAATTAGCGATAATAGTATTGTATAGTTCCTAGATTTGTTTCAATTACAGTGACATTGCATTTGTTTGACATTCAACATTGTGGAATTGGTGGAGGAGAAGATACCGAACCTGGAGCATTGGAAAGAACTGTTGCACCTCCTTGGCATAATCCTATAAGTTTTTCATGGCACCCGACGCACGTGAACAGATTGCTGGCTATATCACAACAAGGTTCCATCTACATGCAACTGTTAAATTATAAAAATAATTAAATAAAATTCATTAACGATCGTTCATGGTTTTCAAAGGACTAACAGATTATACGGTTTGCGAAAGGATTACGGTAAACTGGTCTACAAGATCTCACCTCGCATGGAATCATGCTTCTAAATCTTTTAAATACATATGCAGTAGTGATAATATTTACAAAGCTCTGGATGACATTTCCATTTTAACTAAAACACGTGCAGCTTCGGAATATGGGTTACTTGTAAGTTGAGGAAGTTTCTAATTTATCTTGTTCATAAACTGTTATATATATATATATATATTTACAGCCAGAGCTGGCACAGAATGGTGAACTAGCTGAAAATGATACTCTGAAGAACCTGTGGCAGTGGTTATACTTGAGCCGTTATTTAGTCGAAGACGGCACTATACCTAGTCCTGATAACAAACACCCAGGTGTCAGGTAAGTGAAAGATTCTTTTAAAAGATTCTGTTACAAAAATAAAAGAAATTAATATTCATTGATATTACATAGAACAGTTTTAAAATTAGATGGTCAACAAGGAACTAATGGCATCTTGAAATCAGAATTGATGTATTGCCCTTGGTCGGATATAGGATCCAATCACACAGCAAAAATTTACAGGTATAATGATTTCGGTGTGCCGAAGTTTCCGTAACCAAGTCTTCTGTGTCGTATTGCAGGTCTCCAGATAGAGATAAAGGATTACTCTTATGTGGTTGGAGGTTCGACAAGGATACGAATACGCTTTATGACAATTTGTTTTTAGAAAGGTTGGAAAGAGAGGGAGAATATCCACGAGCAGCTGCGATAGCTGTATTTAATTTATGTTTGAGACAAGCCATAGAAATTTTAAATCGAGGAGCCAGTAAAATGTCGATGTCGGCAAATCTAAATATCGTTGCCATGGCTTTATCGGGGTTTTCTGAAGATAGAAATAGCATGTGGAGAGAATCATGTTTAAAATGTAGATCCCAACTTTCGGATCCTTATTTAAGAGCTACTTTTGCTTTTCTAACGGCGGATGATTCCTATGAAAATGTGTTGGTAAGTAAGCGCAAATTGTTTCTATTAAGGAGAACTAATATTCGAGTCCGTTTTTTAGAATGAAAATGGTATGGCAGTTGAAGATAGAGTAGCCTTCGCACTCATGTTTTTATCAGATAACAAATTAAACGAATATTTAAAACGATTGACTCAAAAATTAACAGATGAGGGAAATTTGTCTGGTTTTCTTTTAACAGGTTCGATGATTTTTCTACTAGACAACTTATATTATTTATACAATATTCTTTTATTATACGTGGTTGTGTTTCAGGTGCAAGTTTAGAAGGTATACAATTGTTAAATCGGTATTTAGAAATTACTGGCGACGTCCAAAGTTGCAGTCTTATAGCGATTAGAGCATTTACACCTAAATTACTTCAAGAAACACAAGTTCAAGTATGGATAATTAGGTATTGAAAGCTGAAAATAATTGCTGAAGAAATTCTAAGTGAAAAGTAAAATTAATTGGTGTTTAAACATAGCTATAGAAATCTTTTAAACGCGTGGAAGATGTGGACTCAAAGAGCACATTTTGATATTGTGATGCGATCTTCAACTAATGAAAAACCTCCGCAACAGATATATGTTTCTTGTAACTTTTGTGGTAAAAGTATATCTGCGTTTATGCAAGGTTTAAGTAGGGCAAGAGGACCTTTCGGTAGATTAGGTAGTACACCCAATAAGCTGAAGGTAATATATTTCGATTTAATATTTAATACATTAAAATCTATGTACATCGGATAAGCTTTTGATATTTAAGATCGAAAAATGAAAACTTTAAATGTTTAATGAATGTGATGTACATAACAAAAGTACATCTCGTTTTATTTTCTATTTAGATGTCTTCATGCCCAAATTGTCGAAAACCATTACCAAGATGCGCAATATGTTTAATGCATATGGGTACTGTAAGCGGATTACAAATGACTACATCCAATGCAAATAGAAATGAAGAATGCGATTCCAAATTAACAGAGTTCAATAATTGGTTCACATGGTGCCAGTCGTGCAGACACGGTGGTCATGCTGATCACATTACACATTGGTTTCGGTAATATAATTAAATACTACAACGAATTTTTTTTTTCTTTCAACATTTTTGTTTTATTTGTAGTAAATTTCTATATATTTTGAAAACAGCCAACATTCAGAATGCCCTGTAACATCCTGTACTTGTAGATGTTTCTCCTTGGATGCATCATGTAAAATAGGAGTGAGTATCCTATAAAGATCTCAAGAACATTAAATGATGATAATAATTCTATTTTAGTTTTAAGGTTGTTATTTTGAGAGGTTTCAATAGATTGAACTTACAATGTGAAAGAAACAATGACTGGCATTGTCTATATGACAAGGATATTTACTTTTATTATTAAATAAAATTGATTAATTATACTGTAAAATAGTTACCATATTCTTATACAAACTTCACAAAATTTGTATTCTTACTGATTTTTATTCATACTGAACTAATTCCCACCAATTTGCATCGCTTTGCATCACTTTTAACAAATTAACCAAATGGTTATATTGATGGATATCTACAATTATAATAGCGTGTGTTACGATCAAATTTAAACAACCAATAGATAAAATTGAAAGAGAAGATAATATGATCTTACCAAATTTATCTACCACATCAGATGGCAGCAATATATAGTCGCTACACGCCATTGTAGATTTTGAGTTTAATTTACCTCGTAATTCTATATATCCTTCTGCATTTCCATCGATAGGAACTGACAAAGTTACATTAACTTGAATACCATCCATTGTCATTATTTCTACATTCGTACCGTTTGATGATTTCTATAAACAATTGTAAGAAAATAAATGGCTATTGAATAATAACGTATCATATAAACCTTACGTTTCTTATAGTTCCAAGCAAGATTACTTCTTCTCCAACATTTTGCGCTAAATGCCGGCCGTTAACACGTGGTCTCGCCATTTTTTAGGTTTATGTATTTACTTGCGTACACAGTATACACCAGGTATGACTAGGTACACGATTCGAATGGATTCAAAACTCAAACACGATAAGTGGTGCCGTTACGTCAGATGGCGTCTTAGACCATACATTGTACAAACACGAAAATTTTTTAAAATTAGACCATCTGTCAAAGCCTCGTGCTACGTACTCTCTCGCGGACTCTCTCTCTCGCACCGTCACCTCTCATTGGCCAGTGTTTTTCGTTAATAACTCGTAAACAAAGCCGCGGATTGCATTTTCGCAAAGGAAAAAGTTACTTCAAATGACCTCAGCTACCCCTCATTTTCGGCTGTTAAAATAATTGTGGGACACCCTGTATAGTATAGTATAGTCTAAAGATGGTGTCGACCGACGTATAACATGTAACATAGACTTTCATATCAGTGCTATCCTCATTACTACGCCCATCCCGAGTCATTTGTGCCGATTTTCGTCACAATCTGAGTCCAGGCTTAGGGCACAATGCTGGCGATCTGTATCTGCAGTTTACTTTGCTATGTACTGTTTTTTACTTTAGTTAATAAAATGACATAAATGCATTGTTCGAAAATATTATACTTAATATGAATACATGTTATACTTAAATGAATACAAAATATACACATTTTGCCAAATAAGGCTTCTTACAATACATCAAGTATTAGGGATAAGACTTTGTATAGCTTGTATATACTCAGTTTTGTGTATAATTGTATAACAAATTATACAATCTTCGCCATGACTCATTTCATGAATATAATGATGTATTCAACCAGTTTATGTAGTGCTGCCTGTTCTGCTTGTTCAAAAGTTGCACTTATACCAATTTGAAGGATCGGAGGTACAGTTCTCAACTGAACTCCAACTATACATTGCTTACGATTCTTTGGTCGAATTGTAACAGTCTTTACAGGTATGTCAAAAATGTTTTTAATAATGGATTTCATAACAGATATATCTTTTGTGCAACACTTTTGCCTTACATGTCCAAGTTCCAAATCACGCTTTTGCGTTTCTAAAATATTTTCACATTTGTCCGATAGGGCAAGATGATAATCCTTAACTAGTAAATGTTTTGTAGATACAGCAGTTACGTTTCTGATTTTCATATATATATCTGTCATTCTGGTCCTTTCGTCATTATTAGATGTGGACTCGATTAACTTTAAATTTTTATATTGTATACACAGTTCATCTACAATATTTGTATCGCGAACCTTTAAACTTTGTAAAACTTCTTTAGCTGCATTCTGTTTGGCAACTTTCTTTGTGTTTCCAGACCCTTCTTTGCATAGAGAACCAACAGAGCAATTCATTGTAAATGTAAAATTATGAGGTAATCCAATTGAGGAAACATTATTGAAACAAGGCTCTGGTAACTTATTTGCAACACAAAATTCCTATAAAGATATATTCGTTATTAATTAAATTAATATTCATATTAGGAATCATATACATATAATGTTTTTTCTATAGCGACGTTATTGTCATATATACATAATATGTCAAAGTATACTTACCATTAAAGATCCCACATAATTTACAAATGTTCTTTGTGAAGATGCGGAAGAATTACTTGAGTTCATAGAACTTTGCGAAGGTGTTTCATCTTCTTTCTCATTTCCAGTTGTTGAACATGGAATGGATATTATACCTTTTGAAGATAATAAATTGATCATTTCTTGTGCAGCACTTTGTTTAGCTTCTTTTTTGGTGGTTCCCACACCTTTTACCTTATATTCATTCCAACTACATTGAATAGTAAATTTAGTTTCTTGAAATTCAACTGTAGAAGCAATTTCTGTGTACACAGGTAAAGAATTAGCACATTTTATAAGTTTTTCTTGTAAAATTGATATAGGTGTCTTAATGTTACTCATAATGTTAGACTATAAGAATATTCCACATCAATTACACTTCTACTTTCTTCTTTATTACAGTTACCAAAAAAGTATAAAAATTGCACCAGGTCACGTTTGTTTTGCTACAAGGAAAAAGGAACCGATCTAATGAACCGATAAGCGATGTTGCATCAATTCTGAGATAATCGATGCATCATTTTGTAAAATCGATGCATCATTTTGTAAAATCGATGTTTGCAGTCGATGTTTTAAGATATCGATTAATCAAGAAATCTATATCTTTTTAGTTTGACGTTGGGACTACATAGAGGGACTATATAGATGTTTGATTATGTAATTAAATTTGCTTTCTAAAAATTAAACATTTTCGCATATTCATTAACATCGAATATTAAAACAGTTCAACACGTTTAGAACATCGGTGTGTCACTCTTTCGAAATTATAGATATATCATACTAGCATAGCCTACATGTAACGGTCATGTCATAAGATAAGAAAAAATATTATAATGTAAAATCCAACAAGAATCGAGGTAGGAAAGTTCGTATTACACACATCGTATAGCACCAATGAGAGCCTAGTGACAAAACACTGAAAATGATAGGTAAAATTATCAACAATTAATTTTGGCTAGCAGTTTGAACGTTTCGCCACTTACTAATTGGTGCTGTACGGACTTTGAATAGAGTTTCTTCATTTTACCACGGGAGGCACCACTATCACCAAACAGATTCCTATCGGTTTTACATAGTTTAATAAAGGCAGCAAGAAACATTTATAATAATAAATCTTTCTGGACACTATACAGATGCGGGAAAATTTACGAAGTATTTCTACACCTTTAGAATATTTTTTCAAACCCGAAATAGGCAACTTTTATAACATTTCTTATACACATATTCTTTTCGTGGCTAACTCGGCAAGAGGTATTTCTGAAAAATGTGATAATTCGTGAATATGAACTAATGGCTCCTGGGCATCGATCCTATATCTCAGAATGTCATAATTATGTCTATTTATGATTATAATATTTTGCCATAATTAATGTTTTTTCGGCAACTCTGCATTATGTTTATAGGATTAGAGCATATAACACGCTCTAAGTATGCTCTAAGCTTATAGGTGAGATTTAGTTCAATGTTTCACTGTTATGTGGCGATAGTGTTTCGGTGCGCAACATATGTACATATATTAATGTATGTACATTTTTAAAAATCATAATTAGCAATTGGCAATACATGTAATTATGTATGACAATCTGTGATATGGATTCAATGCGGAGAATAACAAGAATCATTTCATAATTTTGATCCATTAGCTTCCGAGTTATTTAATTGTTTGTATTTTCGTACTGGAAATCGAATATTTACTATTAAAAAACATCAGAGTTTCGCTTTTGTAAGATCATATTTTCAAACCTTTTTTTTGCAAATATACATATGTAAAGGTTTTATTTCATGTACGACATCGTCATGCGATAGCGGCAATCAAAGGCGGAGGATACAAACGACGAACGTGAGATCTGATACATTTGTAATTGCAATGAAAAAGGAATATATTCACGAGAAACAGACGAAATATTAAACTATACAGAAAAAAGAGCTTCACAATCGGCTACACAATTATTTTCCGTCACTGGTGAATGTATGTATGTATAATTTGAAATGAATGCAATCTGTATACGTGTAGAGACATTGTACGTACAACATATGTACATACAATAAAATTTCATTCATGACTTTACCAATGAAATGATTACTCTTTAATCAGGAAGAAAATCCAGTAGGGTGCACACGGTAAATTTGTTCATAAACCAGTAATTTCTTTCGTTCGTTGAATCATAAAAGAATATACATGCATGTACTTTCACATTTAAGACGAAACGAATCCTTTTAAAGTTGTTTCGCACCAGTTCGTACGTACATATATCTGAATCAGAATACGGTGTGACTGCATACAAACTCAAATAAAAGGGGTCATGTAGAGAGATAGTTTGTCGTTCTTTGTTACGGCGCGCCTACCATCCTGACGATGAAAATAGATTTTCATTTGTGAAGTCACATGCAGAGATGTTCTAGATATATAATTCGTGGCAACTCCATGAGTGAATTGGCAGCCATTTTTAAACTGCTTGCATAGTATAATAACGCAGAAAAGGGATTATGGATAAGAAAAAAACGGATCATGGAATGGAGATACGTGAAGTAACAATGGATTAGAGTTAGCGTGATCTTGACGCGTATCAGATGAAGCAAACGAAGAACCTGAAATCGATGTATACGTGTTGAGTTGAGTGATTCGTTTCGAGTGGACGGTACTCGAGCGAATGCACTTCTTCCCCGTGAAATTGATGGAAATGGTGAACTGTCAACACCTCTGCAAAATGAGAATATGAATTCGATTCGAATCACCGTGACGAACAAAGATCGGTTGATTTGAAGGAGAATTGTGTCGATTGTGTGACAGTTGAACAGTTCGATGCCGAAAGGCCCCGGCTAAGAGCAATGTCGATGCTAACATGCAAGAGAACAACGAATACAAAGATCGTGGCTCTCGAATGCTAAGTTCCTATAATAATGGCAGATAATGTACACAGAAAATCGCATAAGCTGTCGGATGGTAGTAATAGAAAGACGTCGAACACAGTGCATCGTACCACCACCGAGACGATTCGGTTAGGAGAGCCAGAGAAGCTGTACCAGCCGGTTAATTTGACCAGCTCCAGCAACGTGACGGCCAGTAATCAGTGTCGGAAAAAGACATCGTCCTTTCAAATAACAAGCGTTACCGTCGGTTGTCGTATGAGCAATGATGCTGGCGAAGATTCAAACGACGATCTGGACGAATCCCACACGGAGGACAATTCCGTGGAACACTCGCGTATCACCGACATTGACATTGAAACGCCTAGTTACTCGGAAGATACTTTTTCTAAAGAAGATGTATTTTTCAATACCAGTAACGCTGCCCTCAGCACCGCTCCGGTGATTCCTACCAGTTCTCAGTATGGTCTGGCGATCGTACCCTCCGAGGGTAATAATGTTATTAATTCGGTAAACGACAGCAATATTAATACTCTGGATATCACATCTGTTACCGACAACAATATTATAAACTTACTCTCGAGTAATGCCAAACAAGATGCAGATTTGCGAGAAGTACATTCGCACGGTAGAAATGAGCGGTTTAAAGTGGTTAAAATCGAAAGTACTGAGCCCTTTAAAAGGGGCAGGTGGACTTGCATGGATTATCTAGACCATACGTCAGTTAATCAACCAACTGCGATCGGTACTCCTAAAGTGTCAGATCCAAACGAGGTATGCATATCTTATGGGGTAACAGACAGTGGAATTGTGATACCCGATTCATCCAAACAATCTGTCATCTCCGAGGACAAAGGTATAGGTATAGACTCGAACGGACAAGTTTCCACCCATCAAGATGTGCATGCATCGATTGGCGTACCGAGTAATCCCACAACTGTTACGAATGCTAATTACACGGTAAACAATTCTATTCCTCCTAATGCACAGCATAATCCGACACAAGTTCAAACTCAGCAAAAGGTTCAAGCCCCGACGCAAATTCCTCCGTACTTTCAATCTACAACTCAACAGTTAACATCCCAGTCGCAACAACAACAACAACAACAACAAGGAGGACAGGGATCCACGTTACCTTCTAATTTGCAGCCCACCCATCCAAACAACTTGACTCAGTCTCAAAGTATGCCCCAAGGTGCTATTCCCATTATAACACAAACTGGTAATAACAATGTGACGGCTCAGCAAAGTATACCTCATTCTAAAGAAGATGCGTATGTGACAGTGAGTACTCAGAATCAGTCGTTGCCAGTTCAAACAGTTTGTCAGCCATCTGTTCAGCAACCGCCTGTTCCAACATCTCAGGCACCAAACATTCTGGTTACCCAACAACAACAACAGCAACAACATGCACCACCTCCTCAGCAACAACAGCAGCAGCAACAACTTCCACCTTCTCAGCAGCAACAACAACAGCAGCAGCAACAGCCTCCACAGCCGCTTCAAACTCAAAAGCCAATAACACAAATTTCTGAATCGTTGACTGCCATACCAGGAATGCAGAGCATCCAGAATATACATAAAGTTCCTCAGACAGGTGTACAGCAAACTTCTTCGACCATACATGCTCCTGGAGCACCGGTACAATCTCAAGTCATACCTCCGTCTCAAATGCAACCCCAAGCTTCTGGTAGCAATGCTCAAGTGCAAATGGCGCAAGTATCGGCTAGTTGCCAAAATGTTGTAGGTGGTATGCAACAAGGAAGTATGACATTTCATCAATCAGAACCGGAGCAGGACTCCATTACAGGAATAGTAGCTGCATCCACGACACAGTCAGCTGATACCGCGCTTCTAGAATCTTTAACCGAAGTTACACAAGGCAGCGATGAACATCACACCCTCGAAGATAACGAAAGGTACATCGCATTTGGTTAAAGTGAATAAAATTCTTTGTATCGGTTCTACAAGTATAACTTTTAATGCTATTTTTACTACAGTATGTCGGGGACTAGTGCTGTAGCAATTGATAACAAGATTGAGCAAGCCATGGTAAGAAATCTCTGCTAGAGATAATTACTTAACGAAGATAATGAATGATAATATTTGTTTAACAAGGATAAACATTACACGTTCTTTTTAGGATCTCGTTAAGAGTCATTTGATGTTTGCTGTACGAGAAGAAGTTGAGGTACTGAAGGAAAAAATAGCAGAGCTTATGGATCGCATCAATCAATTGGAAGCTGAAAATTCAATTCTGAAAGCTCACGCGACTCCAGAAACGTTAGCTCAATTGAGCCAATCCACTACAAAATTACCCCAAAACAGTTCAGGAAATGGTCAATAGGTAACCATTGTACATAAGTTTCTATTAATACTTTGTCAAGTACATAATGGATAATATAATTATTGTATATAACTTTACGATTTTTAGAAATTTATAAACAATGAGATTTATTATATTATATATATTAGCATTAGTAACTTTTTTTTAAGTAAATTAAAGATAATAGATTATTTTTTACTATTTCAGTTTACTGTTTAGGAAATATAAATAATAATTTAAATGTATAAATTCAATTTTCTTTCAAAATGATAATCATTTTGGAAATATGTATTGTTACGATCCTAGACAGAAACAAGGACATATATGAGTGCATGCCAAGACTAAGCAGCATAAGTAACGAAGTTGATATGGTTTCACGATAGATTCAAGATTTTGAACATGTTAAAAGAAAGTATATAACAATATGAAATAGGCAGCTAGACATTCCTAGACGATTTTTCCTATTACCTCCGCATTTGGCCGATTTCATTCACAGATGTTCAATCACAGGAATTGGCTATTCAACCGAAAATTGAAAATTCAAAAACATTTGCATCCTTTAGATTGTACGTGATTCTACGTTGATATTTTACCGTCATTTTCATTCATAAAAGCAGTTTTTTACATGAATCTATGTAATCTTCATTATTATTAATTATTATTATCATCATCATCATCAGCAGCATTGTGATCATTATTATCATCACCATTATTATTATCTTTATTATTATTACTATTACATCATCATCATTATCATCATTACTATTATTGTTAGTATTATTATTAAACATCAAGCCTCGTGTTTTGTAATCTGTACTCGAGTTGTAATCTGATTTTTAAAAGTGATGCATATTATAATCGATGACATGCTGATAATCGGGAACATAGTAACTGGTGTGCATCGAAAAAATCAACAATTTCCTGTCAACATTTTGTGTCACATCTTAAACATGCCTAATAAAAGAAATTTTTAATTGTATAATAATCTCTTAAAACACCTAAAAAATACAAAATCTCGGATACCATATTTTTTGTTTTAACGGTTGAAAGTATTGCTTCACATTTTATT